TTATCTTTGTAGTGATGACAGTAAATAATATTTGACTTAAAGGCTTAACTAGATTTAAAGGCTTAACTAGGTTAATAATAATAATAATTATTATTATTATTAATATTATTATTGTTGTTGTTGTTATTATTATTATTATTATTATTATTATTATTATTATTATTATTATTATTATTATTCATTTTCGAACTGCAAACTACACGCAGTGAATGCTCTTCCAGCCACAACCCAGTACTGAAAAACACACATACACACATACTCATTCACACTCATTCACTACGGACAATATAGTTTATTCAATTCACCTTTATACCACATGTCTTTGGACTGTGGGGGAAACCAGAGCATCCAGAAGAAACCCACACAAACATGGGGAGAACACGCATACAAACATACAAACTCCACACAGAAATGCCAACTGACCTAACCGGGACTTGAAACATTGACATTCTTGCTGTGAGGCGACATCGCTCACCACTGAGCCACCGTTATTATTATTAATATTACACACTTTTATTTAACAGCAAGACCGTGTAAAACATGAGGAAGAATAGAAGACTAAATAGCCACAGTTTAGTCACAGATACTCAATTAGGCCAGGTAAACTACGATGAAGGAGGCTTCGTTTCCTTTTGGTAACACAGGAAAGTGTTTCAAAACAAACACATTAGAGCAAAAGAGAGAGAGAGAGGAAGAGGAGTAAACCCCTTATTCAGCTGCTCTGCTCACCAGTCACACCAAGGATCCCAATCAATCCTGGAAATTGGTTTGTTCCCTGACAAGGTTACGAAATGACAGGCTGCTAGAGAGAGGGAGAGAGAGGGGAAGAGAGAGACAGATGGGTTGGAGGAGAGAGAAAGAGAGAGAGAGAGAGAGAGAGAGAGAGAGAGAGAGAGAGAGAGAGAGAGAGAGAGAATAATAGAGAGATGTTGGTGTTTGTTTACTGACAGGCTGATATCTCCAGCAGGGCTTCAGAGAGTCTCAAAGTTTGGCTGCGTCTGGACTTCTGGCAAAAGAACACACTGCGACACTTATGTTCATGTGTCCATAACTATGTTGCAGTTCCTCCAGGATTTTGTGTGAGTTTTATTATTAGCATTATTATTTTGAGACTAAGGATAGGATGGTTTGAGTCCCGGCTGGGCCAGTTGGCATTTTTGTGCGGAGTTTTCATGTTCTCCCTGTATTCGCATGGGTTTCATCCAGGTGCTCTGGATTCCCCTACAGTCCAAAGACATGCAGTATATGTGAATTGGATGAACTAAGTTGGCCTTAGTGTACAAATGCATGTGTGACTGCTGGAGAGTATGGGTTGTACTGGGTTGCGTCTGGAAGGGCATTTAGTTGGAAAATTAGTAATTGATGGGGTTTTTCTCAAAAAAAAAAATGGTAATATTTGTAGCATTTCTTGTGTTGATTTGCAGTGATAATTTACACACGAATGTCACTACTTCAATTTGTTCACTTTGCAGCCGTTCCTACCGCTGCAGCGGCGGTAGTTGGTGCGTTTGCAGCTTTTGACCTCTGGGTGGCGCTTTAACCACAGATTTTCAGCTTTGTCTTTTCACAATACTAGATGGAGAGTTCTGTATGTGTACCTTATTTGGTGTGATGTGTTTGAATTAAATGTAGTTTTGTTTTAGATTTCTTAGTAATAAACATGCTTTTACACTCTATATATGTATGTTTTAGAAAAGATACAATACATGGTAAGAAGCATAGCCTTGTTGGCTGCAAAAAGCAAATATAAGAATTGAATTCTTTTTTTTCTAGTGCCCTAATAAATTAGGTTGGGGTGAAAAGAATGTTTCGATTTCTTTGACCATCATGGCGATGTTATTACCTCAAATCTTAAACATGTGCATATGAAAACCGCGGCACAGCACACACTATAATATTAAGATTATCATGCCGATGTAGCACATCACCTGATTGTTATATAACTTACTTTATCAGTAGGCTATTTATTATTTATTACAGACAATGTTACAAATATTTGACCAACTGCCACTTCATGTTAAACACTCTCATGCACTCAGAACTAGTGGCAGTAATGAAATAAATAAATAGCCATATCTGCACGCAAAATGAGCTGCATATCATTTATCATCCGTTCATTTTCTCTGTTCATTTCTCCTTCACACGCATGCAGAGAAAGAAAAAAAATCTGCTTGATTGAAAAAGCACATTATATTACATAACATTATAAAATTTTCATTAACTTTTTTCAGCTCAAGAAATATTGAGATCTGTAATTTATGTCAAAAAACGAGTCATATTTGAAAGTCATATTTGACTCTTGAAGAGCGCTAAATAATCTAAATAAAATGTTGTAGTAAAAATATTATCTACATCTGCAAATTATTAGAATAAAAATATATATTTAAAAAATATTTTCTATTAATGTGTTTAAATAATCATAATTTTAGGCTTTGCTTTGTAAAACTGCACAGCTTTCAACTTAAATATGATCTTACCAAAGACTAATGAATAACTGACAATGGGTCATTGATTTATTAATAAAATATTGAATACTTTAGGTTTAGGTGTCCAAACTCGGCCATGGAGGGCTGGTGTCCTGCTGAATTTAGCTCCAACTTGCTTCAACATACCAGCCAGGACGTTTCTAGTATATCTAGTAGCTTGTTTAGCTGGTTCAGGAGTAATTAGGGTTGGAGATAACTCTCCAGGACACCCGCCCTCCAGGACAGAGTTTGGACACCTGCTCTAGGTGGTGCAAACCAACAGGGTGTGCATTATTTTTCAGATTTTTTTAATACACCAGAGTTAATTATTCCACTTATAATATGGTAACTGGTGACATGGTGGTGCAGTGGGTAGCACGATCGCCTCACAGCAAGAAGGTTGCAGGTTCGAGCCTTGGCTGGGTCAGTTGGCATTTCTGGGTGGAGTTTCCGTGTTCTTTCTGTGTTTGTGTTGGTTTCCTCTGGGTGCTCCGGTTTCCCCCGCAGTCCAAAGCCATGCAGTATAGAGACATTCGCAAAGCTATAGGGTATACTAAAATTGACAGTAGTGTATGTGTGTCAATGAGTCATCACCTTGGAATTATAAGGTTCTATCTGCGTTCTGAATGATTTTGAGATATTGAGTTTTAAAGTTTTTGCATTCCATATAGCAAACATTATGTGTGTAACATTTGTTTTTTAAATAAAAAGTCCTAAAATGTAAACAACTTATAAAAAACATTCTATAATGTCAATAAATTGTCATTTAATAAGAATATGTCAATAGCTCAATTTTGACAAAGATGTCAGATAGAACCTTATAATTCTAAGGTGAGAGAGAGTGTGTGGATGTTTCCCAGTGATGGGTTGCTGCTGGAAGAGTAAAACAAATGCTGGATAAGTTAGCGGTTCATTCCGCTGTGGCGACCCCAAGTGAATAAAGGGACAAAGATGAAAAGAAAATGAACGAATAAATGAATTACCACACATAAAGACATTGTACAAACAGCTTTTGTAACTTGCAGTATACAAATAAGTAAGAACATGATTAGCTTAGTTTAATAAGTTACAATTAACTAAACACTTGACTAATTTATGTCATGACTAATTGATGTCATATCATTTTTTTTACAGTGTGTGTGTCCTGGTGAAGCACATATTAGTATTCTCAAGATGAGGAACTGTCAATGAGTTATTACTCGGGCCAGACAGAATCTGCAGACTTTTCTGCTATTACTGCATAAAATTTTGTTAAAAATCTCTGGATTTATGCGAAATGATTTTGATTAAACTTTTATTTAGTGTTTACTATGCAAATCCAATTAGATCCAATTTATTTGGTAAACAAATCAAGTCTCTCATATAATACATCTACTAAAAGACAGAAAATATTACTTTACATACCGTATTTTAAATGAATCATATGAATATCTTCATATTAGTCAATAATATTACTGAAATTAATTAAAAAATTGAATAAATATCAATTTACACACATTTACACAAGTAAATAAGCCTAGTTACTGCTAATGTTTGAGGGAAATGTGTTTTTTCCTTGTACTATGATCAAAGCTTGAACTCGAAAGTTTTGTTGCACATTTTCCAACAAATCGGAATCAAGAATTTCAAGAGACCGCTGATTAAGGCTAAAAGTAAAATTAAGTATTCCTGTGAGTAGATTACATACAAAGTGAATGTAAATGCATAAATATAGACAAGGTTCTGATGGGCGATGTGAATGAACAACAGTGCAGTGAACTTCATATAATTCAACTCCAGCAAAATATTTGTTACAGGTGAAAAACATTCTGTGAGTAAACAAGAGAGAGTGACTCTGTCCATTGATTCATTTATTTTGTAATGAAGTCCAGAAGTCCAAATTTTTGTGCAATAATTATCATCTACCTCTGCCCTTTGAGTGCTACCGCAGGTGCCTTTGATGATGCAGATTGTTTCACCAACATTGTTGGGGGGAAAACTTGCAAACAGTACAGCACTTCAGTCACACTAGCGATCGAAGATTTATGTAAATTTGACACGCTGAACGTATTCTGTACTGCACCACACGGATAAGATTGATTGACAGTGGTTTACTACCAATCAGAACACAATGCACTAATCAGGACGCAGAATACAATGCGCTGTAAAAAAAACCTGAACCCTGCAGTTTTAGTACTCTCTTCAGCTATTTTATAAGCATAATTGATTAACGTTTGTATTCCTTTTTAAATAATTAATACATTCATTCATTAATTTATTAATATTTAAAGGCTCTTAAAATGTGCTGTTTTTTTCCTCAGCATTCCCACCAGCTTTCATTATAAACAATTAGGGCACAGTTTTCTGGGATTTTTGTTTATTAGTGTGCTTTTACAGCTCTGTCACTATGAAATGTGAGGCCTTTTTCTTCCCTTCCCAGTTGATCTCAGTATAAAAGCTATATATAAATATAGAGTAACCACGACCAACAGTTACAGTCTGTTAGCCTTATTAACTAACTGTCTGTGTTTTTGTGTGTTTGTGCCTCTGTTACAGGAACATTTCACACCGGAGTGTAAGTTTAAGGAGTGTGTGTTTGAGAACTATTATGTGACGTACTCCTCGATCTTGTACCGTCAAACGCAATCGGGGCGGGCCTGGTACATCGGTATAAACCGGGACGGACAGGTCATGAAGGGAAACCGGGTCAAAAAGACTAAAGGAGCAGCTCACTTCCTGCCCAAGCTTATAGAGGGTATGTCCGTTCATAATAATCAATTGTTAAGATTACAGATTATTATTTTTAAAGCAAAAGAAAAGCTAAAAATAAAAAAAAACATGTTTACACTTAATATTATATATTTTGACACATCACCTATTCCAAACTATTAAAAAAAGATATAATAAAAGCAATTTAATTAAAATATAATTGAATTTAAATTACAGAAGTGACACTTGGAAAGATTTTTTTATCAACCCTTTTATGCTCACTACAGTTGCAGTTGTTTGATTAAAAACATTTTTAACAGAATATTTCTGTAAAATAGTAATATATTCCATTAAAAAAAAAGCTGTTTTAACTTTTAATATATTTTAAAATGTAGCTTGTTTATGTAACACAAAAAATAGAATTTTTAGTCTTCAGTTTCATGTGATTCTTCAGAAATAATTGTAGTATGCTGGTTTGATGTGCAAGAAAAAATTTATCGAAATAATGTGTTGCTTAAATTTTTTTAGGAACCTGGTACTGTTTGTTTTTGAAAGTGTTTTGCATAAATAGGACATTTTAAGCACCAGCATTTATTTCAAATAGAAATATTTTTTTTGACTAAATGTTTCACTTTAGCCCGTGATGTGGCCTGAAAATAATGTACAGCAAGAAATGCTTCTCTTACTTTTTGTTTTAATTCTAGTACAAATATCTAAAAATTCTTAAATCAAGAAGTATTTTCTAGACAAGCAAAAAATTAAATAAACCCAGCATGCACAGGACATCAACATGACATCAGATTGATGTTGTACCCCAACGTCGTGGGACGTTGCATGTTTGGAAATGAAAATCTGGTTGATGTCAGAAACCAACATCAGGCCGACGTCAATGTCCAACATCGGACAGATATGGCATTTTGCGTGATTTTTCAACGCAACCTAAAAACAATAAAACACTAACGTATAATGATGTTACAGTTTAATGTTATGTGGACGTTACCACTCTAATGTCTATCAGACGTTGGATTTTAGTGGCCATACCTGATGAACAAATGCCAATAATTGACGTCAATATGAAGTTTGTTTAAGATGTTGACTCCACATTGGATTTTGGTCACTTTCCAGCACAACCTAAAATCAACCAAATATCAACTACATTTCACGTTGTTCATTCGTTCATTTTCTTTTCTGCTTTGTCACTTTATTATTCTGGGGTCGCCACAGCGGAATGAATCAGCAACCTTCTTGCTGCGACCTACCCATTTCGCCACCGCATCGCCTCATTTCACATTGTTATTGGATGTCAAAATAACATTGTCCTTAGATGCTGGCCACCTAAATAGAACCTAATATTAACATCTTATGATGTTGTGTGTCTGCTGGAAAATGAAATATTTTCTTGTTTTAAGATTTTTTTTTCCTTAAAACAAGCTAAATAATCTGCCAATCGGGTGAGCAAAATAATCTTGGTTTTTGTTTTGACACAAGATTATTTTGCTAACATGATTGGCAAATTATTTAGCTTGTTTGAAGGAAAATTTATCTTAAAACAAGATAATATTTTTTGCTTGTCTAGAAAATGCTTCTTGGTTTAAGAATTTGTAAATATTTGGACTAGAAACAGGACAATATCAAAGTAAGAAAAGATTTTTGAAGTCTGAATTATATTGTCTTTCTGACTTTTTATACATGCTTTTTTTTGTATATCATATAAAATCAATATCATTCTATGTTGTTGCTGTTTTTAGGTTCAATATTGTTCAATCATGGGTACTATATTGTACAGCACTTTGGCACATTTATTGGTTTTAAATGTGCTTCATAACTAAACATGAACTTTTAATATAAGATGTTTTTTCTTTCACTTTCTACCAGTTTATTACATCCTCATTTAATAAAAGTATAAATTAATTATTTATTTACATTAACTTATCCAAAAACGCCAGTTCTTATATTTTACATCTTTGAAGTTTTGAACAGTTTTTTTCTTCTGTATGATGAAAGTCAGTGAGATTCAAAACCCCACACCACTGACTTCCAATGACTGTTAGCACAAAAAACTCAGTTTCTTCCTTTACATTCTGCTTAATTAAAAAAAACAAAAAAATTTGATACAATATGAGTGAAAATTAGGGTTGGCCTACATTTTTTTGTTTGAAGAACCATAAACCAAATATCATTGAGTACCGTGGGTCAAAGATGAATATACCAAACTATATTACATTAAAGTTGCCATGCTTCATCTGTATTCATCGGTATTGTCCTCTATCCATCAGGTGACAGTACTGTATGTACATTTAAACTAAATTGGAGCATTGAAATTGAAACATTTAATCTCCTCTAGATTTTTGGTAGCTTAACAATAAAACAAACAAATAAAAGATTACATTAAATTTGAAATGACAGTCTCTAAATCATCCCCATCATTCTCCCTCTCCTTTTGGATGGGATGACGGGCCAAATCAAAGGTTTCCATGGGCCAACTTTGACCCACAGGCCCGAGTTTGGGAATCTCTAGTGTAAATGAAACCAATAGTCTAAATGATGACAAAATTCTCATTTTTTAACATTATTTTTTCCTCCTCTCTTTATAGTTGCCATGTACAGGGAGCCATCGCTACATGACGTTGCAGAGCAAAGCCCGCCTCGGAAAACGGCCAAAACGTCAGACTCACCTGTCCATAAAAACAGCAAGAAAGAGCATCTGCTGACAGTCCCTACAGCATCCTAGCGGCAGGAGAAATGCTTCATTTGCACAGACACGCCATGAACGCCAGCAGTGGCACTGGAGGTTTGGTCCCTCCACCGATTCTCAGACCTTACCAACAATGCATCAGGGCTCAAAAGACCCTCGCCAACAGGTCTAACGCTCACCGCACCTCCTTTTTGGTCTCTTCCGCTTCCGTAATCAAGGGAAAATACTGAGCAATAATAACTGGAATGGTCTGGGGTCACACTGCGACGAGACGCTATTACAAGAACCGCAACACTCGAAGGAAACAATCTTTGTCTTCCTTTTTTTAGTATTTCAACAAGAAACACTTCCTCTTTGTGAAGCAATTCGTGCTTGACATTTAAACCCTTCCATTTCCTTTTGTTCAGGCGTTCATAGATCCCCTAAATCTCTTTTTGACCATTTCTAAGCCTTGTTTGTAATCTACTTTCCTTTTTCTACCTCTTCTGCACTTTGATTAGCTTGAAACATAGAGGCCATTTTCCACTTCACAACACAGGAAAAGCCCTGCTTACTCTCCCAGGGAACATTAAAGATGCACACACACACACACACACACAAACACACACATACAAACAAACACAAAGCAAATAACTAAATAAATAAAACTTTCTCTCTTCTTAGGATGATGATGTTAGAAGTCATTCGACCTTAGGCAGTGCAGACCTCCTCTGTGTAGGGTGAACGTGTGTGTGTGTGAGTGCTGAACAGTAATACAACATAATTTGTAAGATGAGTCATAACAGAGGGAGCAGGGTGGCATTATTGTTTTCTTTTGTTATGATAAGTTGTTGTTTTCCTCATTGCAATATGCCCAGAGAGCAATATCGGTACGGCGCGCTCTTTTTAGGAAGTGTGTGTTGCTTTAGAGCAGGGGTTTCACAAAGTAGATATGCTGACTACTGAGGCTGCAAGTTTCCCAAAGTTCGTGTCCCTGCATTCAATTTTATTCTATTACATTTGCCTGAAAGCAAAGGCACTTCACCCAGCCAAATGAAACAACGCAAGTGCTGAAAAGGTCCAATTCGGCTTCATTTTCTTCTGATGAAACTGGGGAAATCACACCCAGAGGAGCTCATAGGGAGTCATTTTGGGAAAACCTTTGCACAGAGAGTCCAAAAAGGCCTGCAACTTCTCACTTAGTTATTTGAGGTATTGTAAATGAAAATGTATTTTAAGCGCTGTAAGGAACACCTCGCACCTTGTTATAATATACCTCTCAGTACATTTTCATGCGTACCTCCTGCATTGTTAAAATATGATCCACTACCATTCAAAACCTACCTTTTGGGGGTGGTAAGATGTTTTTAAATATATGTTTTTAATCAACATTTTCTACATTGATTTAATAAAATATATACAAAAAATAAAGAATATATTATCAGTAAAATATATATTATAAATTGTCATTTATTCCTGTCACATGATCCTTCCAAAATAATTTTAATATGCTAATTTGGTGATCTACCAAATATCACCTTTTTTTTTCATTATTAACGTTAAAAATGAATATGTTGCCTAATATTTCAACACAATCTCACGGCAGTTTGTAACTTTTTCATTTGGTGGCTAATTCGTATGAATTTATACAATCTCATTTGTACAATTTAGTACAATTTGCTCATCCCCCATTGATGGTTGGGTTTAGCGGTGGGGTTGGGTCGGGTGTCACGCCTCTTTTTTAAAATCGTACAACAATGTTGGTATGACTCGGCTCATACAAATCCATACAAATAAACCACTAAACTGACGAAACGTAAAATAGTTACGATTCCTCCTGAGATCAGGCTGAATATTTCTGTGAAAACTATGGTACATTTTTTTAGGATTCTTTAATGAATAGAAAGTTAAAAATTGTTCAATACTAATTTACTGAAACTTATTTTGAAAGCACTTTTAATTAATTTAATGTGTTATTACTGAATCAAAGTAATAAAATCTCAGTTTAAAGAAAATATATATTCTTTATAGAACATTTTTTCCACTGTCACTTCACTCCACCAATAGCTGGAGTGTGGTGAGCGCACTGGTGTTGTTGTCCTGTGGCAGCCGTTGCATCATCCAAGTGGATGCTGCACACTGGTGGTGGTGTGGAGAGACCCCTCTCATGATTGTGAAGCGCTTTGGGTGTATAGCCATACACAATAAATGCGCTATATAAATACACATTACATTAATGTACATTACATTACATTACAATACCCAATGAGAGTGATTTTGATTATTTTAGCAGGAGTTATTTTTAGCCAGAATATCACTTTTTCTTGCCGGTTATATCATCACAGTTGTATCAAGTGCCGAGCTTCAACAAAATGAAGAAAAACAAATCTAACTTAACCTTTACTTAGCCCTAAAATTACCCTTTACTCACTAAACTGTAAAAATTTTTTCATGTTGTCCCAACACAAATCGATTAAGTTGACTGAAAAGTGGATTGAACGTAAAACAGTGAAATTGTCCCCCAAAAATCTTAAGAATTGTGTTTTTTCAGCTCAATTTAAGCTTAAGTCGTTTAAGCAAGCAGCAAAAATATTTTTGAGTGTACTTACCTTCAATTGGTTTTAAAGCTCTCTTTTGAACACCAAAGATTTTTTTACAGTATAAGGCAACTTGCTGCAGAGGTTTTTTGAGTTGACTCAACTTTCAGTCAAGTACAGTAATTGGTTTGAAAGATGAGTCAACTTAAAAAAGCTCTGCAGCAAGTTGCCCTACATTTTTGAGTTGAGTCAAGTTGAGTTGAGTTACAGTGTAGTAGTTGTAACAAAAGCAAGAAAAAAGTACAGAACTCAATGATGTCCAGCTTTCTTTAAAATATCTTCTTTTGTGTTCAACAGACTAAAGGAATTTATGAAGGTTTAGAACAAGTGAAGGATGAGTAAATGATGACCATATTTTCAGGTTTGTCTCTAGGTTGTTGTTTTCTGGTAAATTGGGATTTTTGATCAATATCGTCTAAATCTATGCTTTTTTTATGTATTTAATGTATTATTACTGAATCAAAGAAATAATATCTATATTTAAATAAAATATATATTCTATATATAAACTATCTTTCAAAAATGTTTTTGAGTATTTTAGCAGGAGTTAAATTTTTAGTTCAAATAATTTTTGTCTTTATTAGTCAGAATATCACTTTCCCCTGCTGTTTATATCATGACTGTATCAAGTGCCGAGCTTGAACAAGGAACAGAAAAAAATCTAACTTTTCTCCTGCTGAGTTGAATCATTTCTCATACCATGCACCTGGTGTTGAGGAAATGATGTCTGCGATAATTATAGATTCATTCCCCTGCAGCAAAGCATTACTGGGAGGAACAATGTTATTAAGACCAAGTGGAAAAATCATTGAACGTTCAGACGATTGGAACATTTGCAAAAATTTCTTCCACATTTTTGATCAGTATCAAAAAAAAAGTCAATCTTTTCCAGATTACAGTTTCCTTACTGCAAATAACAGCACCCGCAGGTACTTTGCAGAAGTTGAGTCTGCGTTTAACATCCCAAGATTGTTTTTCAGAATCAAAATACATCTCGTAGCTCCTGGGTACACATCATTACAAGTTTTCCTCATAAACAATAATTTGTTTTGTAGTTTTGCAAGCAAACAATGCTCATCTCAGACTCTAGAGCTAGTCTTAAAAAGGATAGTCCACCCAAAAATTGTAAGCTTCAATCCTGTATATAAATTTCTTCTTTTGAACACGCACAAAAAAAGTTATTTTGAAGAATGTTTACGATTTACAGTTTGATTCATCTATCTTATCTGAAGGGCTATGGTTTTACAGAATAAAAAGCCGTCTGATACACTATAGAGTTAAGAATTACCAGTTAAATGCCTGACTAAAAGTAAATCCTGCAAGCCAAACTGCAAAGGTTGAATAAACGATAAAGCCAATGTCGTATGCAGTCACAACTGTGCTTTGATTAGCATCCCATGGTTTATTCATCCGGTTTAATCACGATTAGACCATGAAATTAATAGTTTCTTGCTTCCACTATTGTCCTCTTCTTCTGTTAAATGTCACACTAGGGCTTAAAACCTGTCTGAATGGAAGTGTTCCTTTATTTGTAAGGGCTCTGTAATCCAACAAAAGATATCACTACGTCAAATATCACTACAAGTTTAATCGCCACTAAAATTATAATTATAGCATCATAAGGGTTTGCTTTGGGTCAGTTTGAGTTGATTGCGAGTGTCCGTAATGTTAGAGAAAGGAGAATTAGCATCTTTTTTATTTTATTTTGCTGTGATGTATGCTCATGAGGGCCAGATCGGGTGGTTTAATAATTATTTTAATGAAACCACTCTCTGCGCACGGCTAAGTGCTTCTGTCTCAATTTCCCTGCTATTTTTCAGCCATAAACACAGAGGCCAGAAGATGAAAGCTAAGGGCTAATGCTTTTCAGAAGAGCCAAGCCATTAAAACACTATGTTTATGCAGAGATGACCTTGTAAGCTGCAAATGATACATTTTATTTCCTTGTTGTGTTTCTTATATGTCCTTTTTTTATTGTCATCGTGTCAGGTATGCTTATGTCTCTCAATGCATTCATCTAATCATTTTTATTTGCATGTGTACCAGATTCTCTTAAATGATACAGTCATTAAGTAATCTAGTTATAAGTTAGTCTGCGCAATTATATAAATATAATATAATTATATAATCGTTTTTAGCAGACAATTCACAATGGGATCTTGTTTTGCCAAGTCTACGTTGAAATATCGGCTGGCAAATTATACATATTACACATTAAATGTATTGCCAAAGCAGTAATATGAACAATGTGTAATTACAGCGCTTACTGCAAATGATTACAAACTAAGTATGAATAATTCATCAGTTTTACTCAGTCCTTAATTAAACAATTAAAAGTAACACAAATACTGTGATCGTTACACAGTTTAAAGCTTCACTGATTGCCTGCTTTCCTGCACTGCAGGAGTGGGGTTGATCCATGTTGCATGTTCACTCCCTTTTTTATTGATCTGCTGTCGA